TATAACATTTCAGGCTAAGTGGGTGAGACTACCTCTGATATGACTGTTCTACTGGACTTAGGGAATAGCATGCTATTTCAAATCCTTCCTTTTTGCCTTGTGCTATTTTTTCTCTTTGCTTTTGCTGTTTGATAAAATATTTGGAACATCACTCAGATATTGCATGACTACTTTTTAATCCAGAGAAATGTTTACCTTTTGTGGAGACATTGGTATAAAAGCATATAAACAGTTCTGAATAGCTGAGTGAATGAATGCAAGAGCTATAGTCAAAGCCTTCCAAAAAAGAGTAGGCATTTTCTTATATTGGGATAAAGCTCCAGATGGCAAATTTAATTCTCCTATCAGCTGCGTAGCTTCTGACTTCCACATTAGTTCTACAAATCCAAAAAAAATTTTAAGTGCCTAAAATTTAAAAGTGCATATGATGTGTTCACTAAAGTCATTGCATATCCATCTTGATCCTTTTTAATCAGATGCCTGCTATACAGGTATAGTCAGCAGCCTAAGACTCCCTCAGCTCTGAAGATGTGAGAGGGAGTTCTTGCACAACTAAGATCCAACTTAATATGTGCTATGGTATCAGCAGCGATGCTATGTCTGCACCTGTGCGTACATATGCAGACATAGCATCACTGCTGTTGTATGTGTGTGTCTGTATGTCTCAGGTTCTGGGCTTTGTTCAGGCATCTAAATATTCCGATACTAACTTGATTCAAATCTCAACAAGCTAGTGCAGCATGAAATATTATGCTTTTACAGTGCTTATTTTTGATTATTTTGAGGATCCATACTTCCCAGCTCACCTATGCTGTGTCCAGACCCAGCCCAATCTGTGTTAAACCCCCTGCATTTTTTGTTGCTTACTCAGTGCTAGGACAGTTCCTTGCTTTGCAGCCTCACTGATAGCCTGTTTCATTGGAGAAAATATTTTTCTGGTATCAGTTTCCTTTCATTGACTTTTTTTTTTTGTAATTTAAGTTCTTTCCTAACTAAGGGAAATGGACTGATTTTGCTTAAATAGGCACTGTAATCAGAAGTTTGCAATAGAATTTTATTAGGCTTCAGCAGCTAGTGTATGTAGGAATCCGTTTCCACAATCTATTTTTTCACCTACTATCCAAATAAAGTTTTAAAGTTTTAATTTCAAAGAGGGAAAAACTCTGAGCTTTCTATTTATCAGTGAGAAGCTTACTCATACAATGAATGCCTTTGACAGTCTAGCTTGATTGTATCCATTTTAAGGAAGGAACTTTGTCTTCATATATGTTTGCAGAGTAGTTGGAACAATGAAGTCCCAGTTTTGACTGGGACCTCTGGACACTGCCATGATATAAATATTCATTGAAAATAAGAACAAAATTTACTGTGAGGAAAAGGGGTGATACAGCAGTTCATATTTATACTGTTGTAACTGTTAGTTTCAGAAGATAAATCCAACACAAAGTTTGTAGGCAGCCTTTCAGTGACACTCCTTTGTAGTCTCTTTCTCCTTTAGGACCTCAAAATTTCTTCCTTGATTACAAGCTTTCTGTTGCATTGCCATTTTCCCACTATCTGCGGTTAATACTATTCTCTTTAAAGTCTCTTTAAAAATATAAATTTTCATTCTGAGTGATGAATTACTTAAGGTTTTTTTTTTTTTTTCAGTAACAATTGTCCTTTGGAAGCAAAGCCTTAGCTAAGACTTCCACATTTCACTAACCTGGGAACCTGGAAACCTCACCTTTCTTTTCTCAAATCTGACCCATCTAGTCAGTGATGATGCATAGCTTTGATTCAAGACTCAGTACAATTCTCCTAAGTAATTCACGGCAATGAGTACTTTTCCCTTGCAAAACCTTTACATTAAAAATGAGTTCCACATGAATATATTGTATACAATGAAAACACTGTAAGAAATTAAATAGATCTGTCAGTGTTAGCAGGCAGTGCTGGAACACCTCAGATTTCCATTATATCACTTTTTCAACCATTAAAGATGCTCTAAAACTTATGAGAAAAATAGACCCAGATAGGTTTCATGTGGAAAAATATCAATAGCCATTGCCTGGGTAAAGACATTTGCAGAAAACTGCTCACAAGCCACTGAAGTGTGTGTGTGTGTGTGTGTGTGTAGACACACATAAACTTTATTTTCATTTTTGGCATACATATTTCAAAAAGGAAAATTTCCAGAGCATGAGAAATAGAAAGGAACTCATGAACTTGAAGGAACTCATGAACTTGGATTCCTTCTTAGTTAACTTTACTAAGCTAAAATTTCAGTTCTCAGTCCGAGGTAGGTGCCTATGGTCCCTCTAAAGCTATTTGAGCAAGACAGGTATTCCAACAGTGTAATTCATCCCACTTATTTTAGACGATTTGTCTTAGGATGCAAACATAATTTTAGCCAGATGAGATGAGTGGGAGGAATTCCTCTTTAAGTACCTTTAGGTCTTTTCTCCTTTTGGTGGTTATGCATTCAGTGACTAATTACAGGACCCACTGGGTTCTGAAAAGGACGTAACTGATACAGACACTTTGGCTCAATTCCTTGAGTACATAGGTGCCTAACTCCAATTGAACTCAACAGGAGTAGTTCATTAGAATTATCCTGTCTCCTAGAACCACTAAAAATCAGTTGGAAATACAAGCTTGGAAAAGTTTTCCCTTTTCCTAAGAGTCAAAAAATGTTTTATACTCAGATGATTTATACTTACACTTAACTGAATTTTAAAATCTTAAATTGAAGACAGCAATGACAGAAAATGTTATTTCAGTTTTCTCCACTATTTCAGAAAGCTAAGACATGATGCAGAGATCTTTAAAAGTAAATAGAAATCAGGCCTCTAAAGAGTTATTGCAGACTAGCTGGATCGAATGAAGGTCTGCTGTTTGTCTGGGTCTCTGCGGTACTGCTCATCATTTAAGCTATGCATAATAAAAACTAACCTGTGACCTTGTATAAATAGTGGGTTTTACACATAGAGCCACTTGTGTAGTTCACATCTTTATGATAACAGGATTTCAGGGAGGAAAGTAGTAATAGTGATTGAGAACAATTTATTTTATTTAAAACCTGAGTGATGGCAATATTGTTCAAAGTGGAATGTCTAACAGATAAGTTTTATTACTGACTTAGGCAAATCTATAAAAGCTACTTGATTTCTACAACACCGACCACTCTGCGCTCTCCTGGTTTTTGAGGAACTGTGAATACTTGGGCTTCTTTTGGGTTGTACATGGTAAAAGGAATGTAAGCAAACAAAGATTTTGGCTAAAGGTCTGGGAAAAAATGGCTCTCACAGGGAGGTCTGTTCATCTATAAAGTAACATTCCTTCCAACTAGTCTGATGGATGACTCTCACTTGAAGAATTTTAAGATGACTGGCTGAACAGCTCAGTAATGGGAGACAATGCTGCTCTGGAAAGGAGCTCTACAAGAGAAAATAGAAAAGCTTTTTGGTCTGTGGTTCCTTTTAGATTAAAAAAAAATAAAAAAAGACACAGGAGTCTTGTCTTATCTTTGTCTTCCACTGCAGAAACTTGGAAAGGGGAATCTTTCAGTGTCATGGGATCTCACAGAAAGAGCACAGCACAGGGGAGTCACACCTGGCATTGAGTGTATTACTAAGAAATCTATTATTCAGATTAGAAGATCTCCATGGCAGGACACATACAAAATAATCAATGGTAATGCTTAGCTTTGAGAGCTTTGCACAGAGACTTCCAGTACAGGAAGCCATCAACATAGGACTGATATGATTTCATTTTTAGAAGCAAAGAAAAACACTGGAAGTGTTACATTGGAAGTGTAACTTATTAATCAGTGTGAGGTAAAGACAGCACAGATATTCAATGGGTGAAGGCAATGGCGACGTTCTCAGGGAGGAAAGCTCAGATGCATGAGTGTGTAAAGAGCTTTATTTCTGCATGGCATAGGGAAGTAGGCAAAAACAAAATCATTTCTTTAGGGCAAGATTCTTCTTGATCCTTAGATAAGAAAATGGTTTTCCTCCTAACTATAAGGTTCAGATCCTAGTACAAATTTTCAGATATTTTTTTTCTCTTCAGTTCTTTGGTTTTGATCTATATTTATTCTCAGATTGTTTCTATTTGTCCTTTGATTTCCAGCCTGCTGCTCAATGTTGATCTCACCTTTATGAAAAACTGGTTACTGTCTCTCTTACTGCAATTATGAATCACTAAAAGAAACAAATTTTCATGTATTGTATACTATAATATATGAGAAAGCACTGAACTAGCACTAAAGAGCTAAAAATTTAATAGTGAAAAAAAATTATTGTTTAAATGTGACATTTGTCAGTCTTCTATGATGACCATTCTCTTCACATTCAGTCATGAATCCTGTGCCATGCATGTATCACCTTCATGGAAGTTTTGCCTGTATTTAGCAGTAAAGTCAAATTAAAATTAATTTGATAATTAAGTGATCCTTCTTCCATTCTCATTTTTCACTTCCTGTGCTCTTCTTTTTCTTTTTTCCTTCTTTCTGTCTTCTTTCCTAATAGTAGTAATAACCACTAGCATTTATGGCTTGAAAGGCTTGTATTTAACGTATCTATTATTATAAGAGAGAAACTCAGGGAACAGCATTGCACTACTTCATTTCATGGGGAATCCTAGGTGTCCTATCCCAAATGCCTCAATCCCTTGTCCAAACAGATAAATCACCAGGAGAATCTTCAACATAGCTTATGTCAAAGCGAGGAGAGCTGGGAGAAGCATAATAGTTTCTGCCTGCACTCTTAAAGGTTAGAACTGAAAAAAGAAATTCAGAAAATATTTTGGCCATATTTGAAGAGCAGAGGAAAATATGCATCAGGTACAGTGTATTATTAGCACAGAAAACTGTTGATTAACCAAAGGCAATAACAACCACAAGAATGGACTTGTGTAATAAACGTTTTCATGGCCTCCAAAAGCTCATTGATAGCTACTGCAATTGTGCACTTTGGTAAACAGATGAATAAATGAATCAATAAAGTTCTGATTACCTCTAACTGGTCAGACTGCTCGTTTTCAGCATAGACAAACGGTTGGGGCAGCTCGCCAAGTGGTATGTCAGAGAACTCAGAAGCATAAATTACTGTATCAGCGATGGGTGCAGCACCAATAGACTCAAAGATAAAAAATCCCAGAAAAATATTTACAAAGGTCTTCATTCTGCCTTCTTTTCTGAAAGGGAGGAAAAGGAACAAAATGTGGGTAATCTGGTAATTGTAAAGAATCTATGAAAGTTTAATCTCATAAATATCGTACCTCCACGCATGCAATAATGGTTCTGATGGGTAAACTCTGTTGATTCCTGATGGCTGAACAGTTTATTCCATTTTATTTCTTGAAGAGTCCCCAGACCAGAGAATTTCTGCAGCCTGCTTTGGCCCCACTAACATTTAGCTCAATTTAGGAAGAACCTATTGAATTTTACTATTTCAGGACGATATGAAAACAAACTGGCCTCAGTGAGAAAAGATCTGAAAGGGGAACATATCTTGATGTTTATCCCTTTTTGTCTCACTGTGCCTATTTCAACTGCACCATTAGAGAGGGTATTTTGAGAAGCTAACCAAAGGCTACATTACTACGTTTTTGTGCATATCACAATAAATCGTCTTTTGAAATGTCCGATAATGTAATTTGATCTTTCTCCTTCACCACCAAAAACCAGAACTAGAAAATACTAGGACCTTTTTCCTCGCTTTTCCTAGATGAGCTAAATCAAAGTACTTGTTCACCCACTAGCTTTTTAGCCAGAATGTGTCATTTTAACTGGTCAAAAAGTGTGGAATATTTGAAATATCAGTTCTGCAAAGTTCTAGGGGAAAAATAAAAAGCAATTTATGTCTTCCACAGCGCTATGAATGACAGTATTCTGCATTCTGCATTCTTTCTTTATCCAGTCAACACCATTTTTTGAAGTAGTGTGAAGTGCTGTCATAGTCCAGTCACCTGTTCTCCCTACTTGGAGAACTGAATTGTAAAATCAAATCATCACCAATTTAAAAGTTCCATATTTTAGTAAAATAGTAGCAAATTCACACTAGACTTGAATATTAGCATTCATTCATTCCCTCTCCCTTGTAAGGGGTGAATTCACTATTATCCTATGAGCTGCCTGACACAAAGCTCTATTCAGAATTCTTCACTTATACCTTGATTTAGCTACAGCTCCCACTTATTTCACCAAAAGCACAGACAGTGATAATGAGCAGTGCATAAGCCTAATAAATTGTTCACCTGATGTGATGCCATAATACACACAAATATTACATTTTTAAACTGTAGCTACTTAAAATAGATTAAGAAATGCAAGAAATGTTTTTTGAATGTGTGTACTGAGAAACGAGCTGAATGTTAGCTTCCTGAAAGGAGGTCTTTATGAAGCTGGTTTAGGCATTAGGATATGAAATTCCTCTGAGGATGGTCAGCAACACAAGGCATTCATTTTTCCCTCATTTGCTTTATTCAAAAAGACTTTTCAGCTGCTGCTGGGAGAACCTAGAGTCACATTGGCTTGTCTTTGAGCAGACTTAGTTGAATTGCACCTTTCAGTATTAACTTCCAAGATTACTAAAGGTTTTCTGCTTCATTACAAAAAAATAAGATGCAACCAGTCTCTGAAATATACTGAAGTATACCGGAGTTTGTTTTTTTCTGTGTTTATAATTTCTGATGCCTATTTTTGACAGGACTGCTCCTAGTCTTGCTTTTCTTTGGCTTGTCATTTATCTCAAATGATCCAGCTATGAAGGATATTATGTATTAACTGCAAATGTAATACGAACATATACTAACATCAGGTGTAATTTTTTTCTCTGAATAAACAATTCATGAACATAAAATTACTCATTATTCAACATTATTTAAAATTTGCAGGTTTTGATTATTAAAAATAAGTTTTACATTGCCTAGATATAAAAGTTTTTAAAGATTATGGGGCTTTAATAGTACTTCATTTTGTATATATAGACAAATTTAGCAACAATATGAATATATATATATATATATATATATGTGTGTGTGTGTGTGTGTGTGTGTGTGTGTGTGTGTGTGTGTGTGAAAATGCTTCCCTTAAACTATGCTTACAGTATCTGTGCTAACTTGCAGAGTTTGCATGTCTCTGTACTTTCCTTATGTGTAATATATTGGAACATGCTGTAATGATATTGGCATCTGCAGTTGCTGTAAGATCAAATATTTTGATGAAGATTAAGTACTCCTCTCACAGGAAGGAACTAAGACATATCCAGGGAAAAATAAATAATTTCCTCAGTTTGCAGCCTTTGAATCAGTATTTTGCATGATAAAATAAAACAAATATTATAAAAATATTTCCAGCCTTAAGAATCCGATTAACTGGTCTAAGAAAGAAGTACCAAAGCTTACCTTTTGCTTCCAATCTCTCAAATGGCAAAGAGTTGCTCAGAATGCAGAGCCAGTGCTATTAGACCCTGACCAATGGCAGTGGCATTCTGGGGCTGTGGGAGGTGGTACAACTTCTATCCTCAACTGAAGACCACAGCCCAGGGCGTTTCTTCATCTCTAAACACCTTCATATTAATTTTGCTGCATCAAATTTGAGCAAGGTCAAACAAAGGTTTATTGTAAGCAAATGGCATTTATTTCACAGGTCACAGCTTGTTTACTGTTCCACTCAAATCTCTTACTGATTCTATCAATAACCTCATAACCTACTGACCAAAAAGGGGAAATAGTTTTAATTTTAGAGTCCATCCATTACAGTTTCTACAGTAACAGTGACAGCACAGAACATATATGCAATGCATAATCATCACTCAGGGATAGATGGAATATTTTAATGCAGACCTCTGCAATAAAATGCCTAGAAGAAGTATAGATATTTATCATTATTTTATTACTATTTCAATAAGCAGATGTAACTGATAAACAGGATAACATGACAGTAAAAAGAAAAGCAAGCAAATGATAACACAATCCATCCAAAATCCATGTGAAAAAACTTTGGGACAATTTTTGATTTACCTTGCATGAACATGCAGTAATTCCAGTAAAGCTGGCTGAGTTCCTCCAGATTTACCACAAGATAATTGAAGTCTTTTGTTACCTAGCAGACATACATTTTGCAGCTGTCATTGAAAATAGTCAAAATAACATTCTACACTGCCTTCTGGAAACGATCTTTTGTCCTCTAATGATCTAGAGATGCGTATTTACCTACTTCCAAAATCAAGACCTGAGCAAACTGGATTACATATTGAATATTTTTCCTGACATGAACCTAAACATTTCTATTTTGTGGGTCATTGTTTGTGATAGTGTTTACTGAATTTCAATCTGCTAGCGGTACTGTCTACTATGTATTTAGATGTACTGCTTGCTTTTTTTTCTCTTTTTTCCCTCTTAAATACTTATGGAAAAAAGTTCATAGGGTATACTCTTTCCAGAATGTTTTCCTTCTAAGGGGAAAATGCTACTTACTTAACAGATATGAACTGCTACCAAATATTGCAAATGAAAGATGAAAGATATCCACTGTAGTAGCATGCACTTTATTACAGTAGAAATAGTTTTTACAATGTTAGCAGAAGTCAGGCTATCTCTTTTTCATATTGATGGTATTTTCTTCCACTTGGTTCTGTCATTATCTTTTTATTACTGGCATTTCTTATAAAAGTTTTTTTATACAATCATTCCTCAGCACTTTTTCATCATTCTTCCAGCTCTTCAATTAAATCTATCCCCAAATACTGACAATTTCGTATATTAACATCAGGAAAACCTGGAATCCAATACTTATCTATGGAGGAATACAAGATTCAAGTAGAGGACTGCGATGTGCAATGTGTGCTAAGCAAATCTGATTCTCTTCCCCTTATGCAATCTCCACATCAATACTTTATAAATAAGTAGACCATTCTACAAGGCCAAATTTGTATGAGGCAATAATAGTACGTTAGGATATTCAAGCCAGCTCTCAGTAGTCTGAATATAATGTCCAACTTCTAGAGCTAGCCTAGGGAATCTAAGACTTTTGAAAGTGTTTAGCAGATAAGACAAAAGGCCTACAGGAGAGCAAGAGAGCAATACCTCTGTAGACAGGTAGATAGAGGGTAGAATATTGTAGGATGTATCAGATAGCACAAACTGTCATTTGTTGGTTTGGCAACTGAGTCAAGCCTGCAGTGCCTTACAATACTGTCACCACTGCTGGAATGGCAGACTGCATTCTAAGGCAGGTTCAGCATGATTTACTTCTATCAAAAGGCAAGCATTGATTCATTAAATCAGTTATTTTTCTTTTCCTTCTTCATAGTCCCTTCCCATTGTAAAAACAGCTTCTTCCCTGAAGAATCGTGGCATTAAGTACTGTGGGGGCACCATTCTCCTGTGTCCTACTGCTATTCTGTTTCCTTAGATCAGTAACAATGGCCTCAAGATAGTGTAGGTTGGTCCTAAAGCTAATGATCAGACTACCTCGAATGCCTATATATACTGCTTCCTGGCTACAAAGCAAATGCTATAGCTTCTGCAGCAAAATGGAGCATTGCATCTTCTTAGTTTTACTGGTAATTTGTATGCTGCTCCAGGTTCTGAAGTAGTCGATATTATTTCACTTTTAAATGTTTTATTTGCTGCCCTGCTTGGCCATTTAAAAGATTTACTCCTCTAATACTGACTCCCAATACATCTTTTTCATTTACTAAACGTATTTTTTCTAGATAGGCCCCATTTTCATTGATTTCTATTGTACAAGAACCTGAATCTTGTATTTTTTGTTGAAGAAAAAGTCTTATCTAAGACAGCTTCTTCACATCTGTATTGTTTTTTTATTCATTCTTTACTTCATTCTACTGCAACTTCAGGCCTGAAACTTTTGTATCTTTGAGTTTGTAGGTTTGTTTGTTTGTGTTTTGTTAAGACCAATATAGTTCAAACCATTTTGGCTCTGGATCTTAACTTATCTTGACTTTAGTGGCTTACTGAATTCCTGGCAGACGATGATAATGCTTTACTGTTTACTCCTCCTCTGGTCTTGTTTTTCCAAAAATAAGGAGTCCAATAAGCAAGTAAAATCAATTGAAGGCTAAAGGCAAATGTTAGCTTAGAAACATTGTTATTACTACTATTGTTTGTTTTTGTTAAAGCTATGGAAACTTATGTGAAAAAGGATATATTTTAT